AGAGAATGAGGAACAGAGTCAAATGCTTTAGAAAAATCAAAAGACACGCCGACACACTTCACACCTGCATTCCAAAAGTTAAAAACGGTTCTTATCACAAGACTGTTCTATAGTACCGATGAAGCATCAACTCATCAATCGAAATTTTTATAGGCTGAAAAATCTTTAAGCATAAATGAGCACGTACACCGTGCAAAAAAGATGCAACAACAAGTATAATACACATCGACACATGTAAGGAAAAAGCTTGTATTTTAAGCGCAGACCTACTCTTCAAAGTAGAACCTTCTCTTTAGCGAGACAGAACTTCATTCCTTCATGAAAAATACACAGAAAAGTACCAAATGAAGCAAACCGACACAGAAATGGACAAAGCACCACTGTTTCAAGTACAATCAAGACTTACAAATTACTCATATCATGGCTTTCATGAAATAAGTAAATAAAACTGATTTTGGATTTTTTCCATATTTTGCTTCACAAGAAAACGACCTAATCCATTGATTTTAACGGAGTATTAAGCCACATATGCAGTAATGGATTATATAAAGGTACCGTTGCTTTTCACTGTTTTATTCAATCACGTTAAGCTAACTGCATAAGTAAGACGTTTACTGAATTAAAATGCATTGCAAACCATCGCCAGGTTGACTCAAACGGAGAATGCACGCATTTCGAATGTTTCGTGCACGTTCGTACGTGTGTGGAACTACACATTGCAGATGAATACGTCTTCTTCGGAACGCGTACGGAACATGTGTGAAATATCCGCATTATAGAGGTTTCTTTTTATGCGTTAATTGGACCTACGTAGCCCAGTAATCTTATGGCTTCCCGTTTTTTTTTAACGCCGTTGCTGTCACTCGCCTGTATGAATAAATTTTCATTATTTTCACTTGTTATACTGTCTGAAGACTAAATACACGGACACTTACAAGCAAATGCAGTCAGTACTTACAAAAAGAGGGTTCTGACATTCTACAAGAAAGATTAATCAAGCAACTAATTAGTCACGTTATATGTGGATACCGTATGTTTTGACCTATGAAAAACCACCTGAGTTACTTACTCAATGTGAAGACCTTTCTTCCAGTTTTTATTTTTTCATTTATCTTCGAGTAAAAGTCATTTTTTGTTTTTCCCTCTTCGCGATATAGAACGTACGGAACATACGATTTTTCGGAATGAGACAAAAGTCATTTTCGCATACAAGTGGTATATAGAAAACAAACAGATTTCTTTTAAAGTTGACCATTTTTTGGAATCTATTATTTAGGAAGTGTGTCGGCATGTCTTTTGTTTTTTCAAAAGTGTTTGATTCTGTCTTTCATTCTTTTTTGTTGAAAACATTATCGCATTGTGGTGTAAATGTCTTCTTGGCTGTCCAACAGTCTATAGTGTGTGCGTGTGCATGATTCTATCTTTTCTGCTTCTCTTATTTCTTCTGGCGTTCCTAAAGACAGTCCGCTTGAGCCGCTTTTGCTTCTCACTTTTATTAATGACGTGCCTCTTTCTCTTGCAAAAAATTGCGAATGATGTCTTTTTAACTGTACCTCTTTCTTCGGAGTTCTTTGATTTTTCTCATGTTCAAAACTGTATAAATTCTGTTTCTAATTGCTCTTCTAATCTCATGCCATTGAGCCATATCTTCGGATTAATTAGCTCCATCAGACGTTCGGCATCAAACTTATCTTTCTTCTACGTTTCCTAAGCTAGATTATTGTTGTGGCTTGTACGATAGTTTTTTTTCACTCTCTGTTCCAGACTCTGTAAGCAAACTTGTTTTTTGTATTGTTTCTCACAATTTTGACTACAGTTTTTCTAGTGCTTTATTTGTGTCTCAACTGTCTCTTCCAAATCTCTCTCTTCATCGTAAATATTTTCGTCTTGTATAATTTTTCAGTATCTCTGCTAGTATAATTGTCATACTTCTAGTCATAATAAAGTGTTAGTTGTTCTCTTAACGTTATTTTATTTGTTTAACTTCATTGTTATTTGATCTCTACGTTGCATACTGTAGCTTCGTTTCATTTTTGTATTTTGGCTCGAGTCATTGTTATTATAGGTCGGAGACCTTTGATGACTCCCACTTTTCGTGAATAAGCTAGTCTTAGTCTTAGAATCCATAGAAAACAAGAAATGTTAATCGCCAATATTTTTCAATTTCATATGCCGTTTCGATCTAAGCGGCGGTGTGTTTTTTACCGTTGCGTTTACTTTTTCTCTTCCAGTTTTAGTTTTCTCTCGAAAAATCGCGTCGTATCCAGAATTGCTGCGGAAAATAAGAACATAATGATGAAACTTTGTAGTGCATTTCTTATTAAAGTCGAACAATCGTCGAATATCATTCTCTTTTTTCTCTCATTTTAGAAATCTTCTATGCCGGTATTAAAATTTACTATTCAAACATTTTTATTTGCGTGCTGGGGTTGGACATTGATCAGTCTCGTTTTATTATCGTCGTTTACATTTTTTCTATTTAATATTTGTCTTGCATCATTTATGTTTTGGTTTTTGGTTACATTAGGCGCATGGATTTTATTTATTGTGCCATTTTTAAAATTTATCTATTTACCCTATCGTAAACGTCAATGGCAAGAATGGACAGCAATGAACAATGCAAAAATAAGTATGGCATTTTTTCATCCATACTGCAATGACGGAGGAGGTGGTGAGCGTGTTCTCTGGACAGCCATTGATGCTATTACAAAAAAGTAGGTCAAAAGAGATTGTTATTACTGTAATCGAATGTCTTCTGTTTTTTTTCTTCAGTTATAAAGATATTCGAATTGTTGTTTATACGGGAGATTGTGATTATACTCCTGAACGAATTTTACAACGTGTAAGAGAACGCTTTGATATGAATTTAAATGCTCATTCAATAAGTTTCATTTATCTGAAAACACGTTGGTTAGTTGAAGCAAAATATTATAAAATGTTTACCCTATTAGGTAAAATAATTGTATAAATCATTAAAAAAATGATATTTATTTGATAATATTTATTTTAGGTCAAAGTGTTGGATCCATATTACTTGGTCTTGAAGCATTATTACGATTTGTTCCCGATATTTATTTTGATTCAATGGGTTATGCATTTACCTATCCTCTATTTCGTTATATTGGTTCATCAAAAGTTTTGTGTTATGTTCATTATCCAACAATTAGTACTGATATGTTAGAACGTGTAACAGAACGTCGAATTACTTATAATAATCGTGGTTTTATATCAAACAATATTTATTTAAGCAAACTAAAACTATATTATTATAAATTATTTGCCTATATTTATGGTCTCTGTGGAAAATGTAGCGAATTAACATACGTAAATTCATCATGGACAAAACAACATATCAATCAGATATGGTCAACATCAAATCGTACACATCTTGTTTATCCACCCTGTGATGTTCAGTCATTTTTAGCCATGCCTTTATATGATGATAATAAACGGCAGTTTTTTACGATTGTATCTGTTGGACAATTTCGACCAGAAAAAGATCATGAATTACAAATACGATCTTTTCATGATTTATTACAAAGGTAAAGAGAATGATACATAGTGTTTATTTTTTCATTAATAATCTTTTATTTATAGAATTCCTGAACGACGTAGTCAGTTACGATTACTATTAATTGGTAGTTGTCGACATGAAGATGATCGACAACGTGTAGAAAGTTTAAGAACATTGGTCGATAATTTGAATTTGAATGATGTTGTTGAGTTTAAATTGAACATTAAATTTGATGAATTGAAAACGGATTTAAATCAAGCAATGATTGGTCTACATACAATGTGGAACGAACATTTTGGAATTGGTAAATTGTTATTTTTGTATAAAAATTGAAATTAAACTGAACTTCCTAAATTTTTATTTTATTTCTTTAGGTATTGTTGAAATGATGGCTGCCGGTACAATTGTGCTAGCACATAATTCAGGTGGTCCAAAAATGGATATTGTTGATAATCAGACCGGTTTCTTAGCACATGATCTCGATTCTTATGCCACAAAAATGCGTCAGATAATTGAATTAAGTAATGATGAACGTTTGGTAATAAGATGTAATGCACGAAATAACGTACAACGTTTTAGTTCGCAACAGTTTGAAAAAGATTTATTGCAACATTTAAAACCTATACTATATAATTAATATCATAAAAACAATCTCATCGATTTTACAGCCTGGTTTTAACAGTGATTATACTTTTTTTGTTATTTTATTCATTTTTGTGTATTTTAATAAAAGGAGAAACATTTTATTATTCGTCATATATGATCATGTTTTTGTCGATAATCGGAAAAAATAACTCTGAAAGACTAAGAGAGTGTGTATTGTTTATATTTCTATTTTAGTATGAATATAAAAACTGTAGCGAATTGTGAAAAGAGTTTTATTATACAATGTCTGCAAGAAAAACAGGTAAATTTTAAATATTTAATCAATGATCTAGAACAAAATAATCTTAATAAGAAAACTTAATAATCTTGTATTGTAGTTTTACTTGTATTTGCACTAGTGTAAATAATCATCATAGATTGTATGAAATAATATAGTCTTTACCAATGGAAAATAGATGCTTACTTTTAACTATTGAACAGAAGATATAAAACTGAGCTTTTGATATTTTTAGCGACTTGATCATCGTCGTCCATTCTCGTTACGTCCAGCTGATATTGAATTTCGGCAAGAATATGGATCTGTTGTTGTTAGGATTGGGAGAACCAGGTATGATTAATTTCTTATTTTTGTTTCGAAAGGTATAATCGTTTTTTTGTAGAGTATTGGCGCAAACATCATGTAAAATTGTAAAACCAAAAGAAACACGACCAAACGAAGGACGTCTCCGTATACTGTTAAAAAATATTCATCTGTTATCTTTTAGTTTTGATGCTGGAAGGTATATTTTAATTCGAAATCGAATGATCAATTATGTCTGTTTTACTTATTTTTCTAGACAGTCACAATGGACAACAACACTCAGTCGACATTTACTACAAAACATACAAGATTCGAGATGTGTTGATATGGAATCGTTGTGTATAGTTGCTTATGAACACGTAAGATATTTTTTTTTTGTTATTGCCAGTTGTTACCACTGGGATACTGTGCGTGGATAATTATATTGTTTACATGATCAGGAAATAAGCAATATCACGCTTAGTTATCCTATACTGAACTAGAGGAACCAAATGACAGAGATCTCTCTAATTCTTTTTCATTATTATTATTCCTTCTCTATCGACTTTTAAACATTTTGTCTGTTGACAAATAGTTTTACGAATAAACTTTGTGTTTTTAACTGTTATTTGTGATTTTATTCTCCTTGATTTATATGAACTATTATCGTTCATAGAATATGATATTAAAAGCCTAAAGGAGGAATCCATATAAGTTAAGAATTCCGCCCATTTTTAGTTTTTGCCTCTAAATGCTTCGGTGAGAAGTGGAACACCACACATACTCAGTTTTAAGTGCTTTTGGATCGTTCCCGCTTTGCTAGGTTTGATAGCGTGTGAATACGGAGACTGATGCTAACGAGCACCATTAGGACCCTTATAATATGCTCCTCTCTGATATTTTCGGAGTGTACAAAGAAATAAACATATAAATCAAAAGCTCTTTCACTTCACTACAACTTGGTCTCTTTATAATATCTTCGCTGATTTGCAAAAAAGTGAAGAATGTTTTGATATTTCTTGCAAGGAGGTTTTGAGTAGTATTTGCTCAATTTCGCCAACGGAACGATATTTCATGTCAATACAAATACATTATTCATAATCTACGTAAAAAATGGATTCGAACGAGGTACCACTCACATGGTTTCTGGAACTTCAGAATCTGATATAAAAATAAGCTTAATTTTTAGGTCCAAATCTGAAATTCCAGAAACCATGTGAGTGGTACCTCGTTCGAATCCATTTTTTACGTAGATTACGTAGAAATATCAAAATATTCTTCACTTTTTTGCAAATCAGCGAAGATATTATAAAGAGACCAGGTTGTAGTGAAGTGAAAGAGCTTTTGATTTATATGTTTATTTCTTTGTACACTCCTAAAATATCAGAGAGGAGTATATTATAAGGATCCTAATGGTGCTCGTTAGCATTCTCCGAATTTACACGCTGTCAGACCTAGCAAAGCGGGAACGACCCAAAAGCACTTAAAACTGAATATATGTGATGTTCCGCTTCTCACCGAAGCATTTAGAGCCAAAAACTAAAAATGGGCGGAATTCTTAGTTTATACGAACCCCTCCTTTAGCTCACTGCATATGCTCTAATTCATATTTAAGAGTACTCTCCCCTCTTTTTTCACCTTGTTGCCAAATGCGTAGCACACGTCCGATCGAGCTCAAGTTTATACCAGAGATAGAAGAGCGATAAAGAAAATCGATGTATTTTTGCTTAGCATTTTGTGACATGATCTTCTATGGATTTTCTAGACAACTCCAATTTTCATCCAATCACATTCTGATCCGTCGAAAAAATGGTCCGCTCGAGTCGAAATTTTCACCTCAGATACTCCAGACCATATCTTAGGTTTTAAATTTTTTTCCCGAAAAATATGCTCTCCTTCTCGAGATATACGAGAAATGATGGAAGTCACACAAAAATATGTTTTTTTCGCTTTTCAGTTTTTCGACGGGTCATAATGTGACTGAATGAAAATTGGAGTTGTCTAGAAAACCCATAGACGATCATGTCACAAAATGCTAAGCAAAAATACGTCGATTTTCTTTTTCGCTCTTCTATCTCTGGTATAAACTTGAGCTCGATCGGACCTGTGCTCAGCATTTGGCAACAAGGTGAAAAAGAGAGGGATACTCTTAAAGAAAATCATTAGATGATTTTTATTTGTACTGTGTGACACAAAGTCTTCTTACTTTTGTTATTTCATTGTATAGGTCTGGGAAATTGTGATTACACTCAATGTACTTGACTACGACGGAAACATGTTAGATTGTGCAAATATTGCCGCTCTGTGCGCATTGTCCCATTTTAGGTAAGGTGCGTATTGTCTGTTAAAAAAAAAGTTGATTTCAATACCCCGAATTTCTGAAGTCAACGGTCTTAATAAAACTTTTAAAAATCAATAGAAGAACTCTGGTTGTTTGTAAAGCTTTTTCGATGCAGTAATAAAATGATTTCTACTATTTTCGAGTACAAAGTCAAATTGAATACATAACACAGAGTATACCTTGGTGTTCTGAAGTGCTTTAGATTAGTTTTGGCTAAGTTATGACTAGCGATCGCCCAATATGGGTACGATATAGGTTTTTGGATGTTTTTCGAAAAGCAATCATTGTCAGAAAACTTAATATAGCTAATAATGATAGTTTGAAGGTTACTAGCTGTTGGTTTTACGGCCCCGTCGGAACCTGATCTCCAAGCTGCCGAAAACGAAGATCTCACTTGAAAAGGACATAGTGAGCTATCTACTCCTGTAAACAAGTAAAGTATTTGCATTCCAAACCTTTGTGAATAGACGCCCCCAAATCTCTTCTATTGGATGACAAAAACATCACAACTCTCTCAGCTTTTTTCTATCAAAATTTAATCCAAAAAATGAGTTCTCTCTTTTTTTTTAAACGGGCAATAGTCACATATTTTAAAACCTGTACTATTTCTCTTTTTAATTCTTGTACAGATGTCCAGCGGTGACTATCAAAGGATTTGACGTTTATCTGGTAAGATGAATTGAATTTTCTTTTCTACTATATTACATCTTACAGAATCTTTTCATTTACAAATAGCATTCCACATCAGAACGTAATCCTGTACCAATACGTATTTTACATTTACCTATTATGATTACTTTTGCTTTATTTGAAAATGGGTATGTGCTTTTTTTCTATTTTTGTTGTTATAAAAAAGATGAGAATATCTTGTTTCTTTAGTGAACATATGTTAGTTGATGCTTGCGATGCCGAAGAAAAAGTAATGGAAGGTTTATTTTCCGTGGGATTAAATCAACATAAAGAATTAAGTTGTTTAGCAATGTTGGGAGAAATTTCATTAAGTCGTGATCAAGTAGGAGTGAATACTGTCTGATGCAAATAACAGTTCGTTATATAAATTTTGGTTTTTTAGATACAAAATTGTATAACGTTAGCTCATGGTTTGGTGTTGGATTTGACAAAATTAATACGAAATGCTTTGAATGAAAATGAAAAATTACATGCAAAACAGATGATTTTAAAAGAACAGGATAAACCTAAAATCCTAAATAAATGATAAAAGGAAATTTTTTCATGTATTTATGATATTACACATGTGTCTTGGTGATAATATTTTTTTGTTTGCACTTTTGATAAAAAAAATAATTGTTACGAAGATTATATCTTACTGCCAGGTATAATTAAACACGCTGATGAATAATAATACTGGTATGCTGATAATAAAAAGAAAATAGTTTTGGAAAATGGACAATGTGAAGAATGTTGATATAAGAACTAGCCATCCATTTTTAGGACACTTTGAATTATTACTGAATGTTTTGATCATTACAGACATTTTTAACGTAAAATACGTGCATAATTTAAATTAAAACTGAAAACAGATGTTGCAACGATTTTATTCAACTGTGTGTTCATATTTATGACAGCATATGTGTATATCGACGCTCAATATTACCGAAAAGAAATAGCGTCAAGTGGTATATGTGTATTCAATAATCTGTCAAAAGAAACATGATTTACAATCAATTATGTTATCTACTTTCAAACACAAAATCAGTTTTCTTATCATGTATGTGATGTTTTCCGATATTCCTGATCACTGGTACATTTGAACTTGTGTTTTTCGAAAATAAGTGGAAGTTTTTGGATTGAACATCAACTTCTTCAGCTATGTAAAATAAGAATTTCTAGATGTTTGTAACTAATTGTATTAACGAAAACTTCTTTCTATAACAAATTCTTAACAATTACTATATTTTATAGAGCACAGTTTACTGTACAAAACGAGATATTCGTCGTAACGTTGTAAGAAAAATTGAGTTGAGCCAAATTTGTAGCTCGATGACTCTTATGCAATGAATGTTAATCAGTTTTCATGAATTCGCGATTAAAAAGCACTTTTTTCAAAATACAGAAATATAATTTAATATGATTGAGCTGTACATACGTAATTGAATGAGTTATAAAACTCGTCTTTAAGTATCAAAACTTAGGTTTTCTTGTTATTTATATCATTAATTTTATTGCTGTTACAAGACCCATTTGGTAATCGATAATAAAAATATAATTTTGCGAAATACAATGTCAATGATTATATATAATTAGCTATATACTTGTTTAGAAATGAGAAGGCAGCACTTCAAAATATCAGATCTCTACACGATATATTAGAAGATTAATTTCGGTTTCTTCATAATTAAAGTAAGCTTTATTTAATAAATATTACATTGTTGTACTATTTTTAAATATTGTGAATGTAACGAGACTTCTCAAGCCTTGTCTTCTTCCACAGCCAATTGGAACTTTTTATCAACATACTTTCGGTTTTCGACAGATATAGCACAATGAATCGATCGTTCAGGTATATTTTCAGCGAGACAATGATTACATTGATCAAAAAAAGCTGAACTGCACGTGACCTAACTTTTAGTAAAATAATGGAAGAATTTCGTTTGACATGAAATGAAGCAATCAGTACTATGCCGTCTTATTTACTTGTCCCATATCTCTAGAAGCTATTCTTCAGCTATCACAAAGGATGTACAAATATTTTTTTTTCTTCTATTAGACAGGTGTATAATTTATGATTTTATTTTTTAAAAGAACGGTAACCAGTCGATATTAAATGTTAATATTATCCAATAGTAAATTGAAGCGAAGAAAACGACAAATCATCAATGACATATACTTGAATATATTTCTTATCATTTGTGTTTCAAGTCAATATACGCTAGGTTAACAACAAAAATTAATCATTTTCAAGTGCACAAATAAAACACAAGAAAAAAAAAAGAAGATAAATTGGTATGTTCTTCGATTTAAATACTGACATAGATCATTTTAATTGTTATATTCATCGAAAAGTAATAAAAATAAAAATAAGTTGTTCAATAATGGATGCTGTAAATTATCTCTCACATATGAATAATGATTCATATAACAACTATAACACTAATAATAATTATTATGATCTTAATGTTGGTGGAAGATCAGTAACTGCACAAAATTATTATACTCCCTATAATAATAATAATTGTTTATATATTACAAAATCTCTTGCTGCTCCAAATCCTCAAACACCAAATCTTGTTCTTGTGGCATCTCATCCAACACTTGGAAATACATATCAGACAACACACGATTATAATCATTATCCATTTAACAATACATTTTTAGAACAAACTCAAATACCCATCAATAATACAATTTCTGCTGTTGAAACACAATTTATACCAAATGGATATAATCAGGATGATTCAAAACAGCAGCAGAATATCAAAAAACTTCCAACAGTGTCAACAATTACAAAATCTTCCCATAATAAATCGAATGTGCACGAACAAGCAAAATCGACAATTTCTACAACACCGATGACAAGAGTGGCTGATACCAAATCAAAAAACAGTGTATATGAATGGATGAAAGGTAAGAACTTGACTATACGCTGACTTGAAAAAAAAATGTGTAAATCTTATTATTATTAAAATATTATAAATGTGTAAAATCTTAAACATAACCGTTAGAATACGTAAGCTCGTTGTGACATCGAACAAGGAAGAGATAAAACTAGTGGTTTCACTTAGAAAGCTTCAAAACGTAAGGAAACTGATGATTTGAGATAAATAATTAAGCATGTATCGATTTTTGGTTAAAAAATTGAACTAATCATAACTAAATCAGTTTTCCTCAATATCCGGTAAGCGCATCAATGTAAGATTAGCGATAAACTCACATTTTCAGTTACAAGATACAGCATGTGATATTCATCGTTAATGATACTGTATCACGTATTCTCGTAAACTATGAATAAAAGATTTAACAAAAATTTTAGATTTTCTAATCATTATAACAATACAAGTACCATATATTTTCTTTAGGTGATCAAATACGTCGAAAACATCGTCAAGTTTACACGAGATCTCAGACATTTGAATTAGAGAAAGAATATCGATTTAGTCAATATTTGACACGAAAAAGACGATCGGAAATAGCCAATGGCGTTCAATTAACAGATAGACAAGTATTTTATCAAATAACTAATAAATGTTTTCTTTGAAAATTTGATCTGTTTTGTTTCTTATTAGGTTAAAATATGGTTTCAAAATAGACGAATGAAAGAGAAACGTGAAAATACAAAATTGTGGACAATAAAAAATAATCGATCTTTGTGTACCAGTAATAATAACACCAATATGACAACAACCGATTATCCGATACAAAATCAGCAAAGTCTATGTTAGTTATCCTAATAAGAACTAATTGATAATGACCATGAATATATTTTTGTTTTAGGAATATGGATTTTAAGATTGATACTGTTATCTTTCGTATTTTATCGCCTATTGACAAAATTATGATATTACATACGTATATATATTATTATTTCGAAGAAATTTTGGTTTTCAAGACACTATGAGTGTTATAAAAATTTGCTCATACGGCATTGAACTTATCTAACAACGAAAAGTTATAGTCATTTAGTCTTAAACTTTTCATGATCGAATGATAAAAATATTTATTGATTTCTAAAAGAAAAGTTCCATAATATTCTTATAGACAAGAATTTCTTAACTTAAAAGGGTCCAGAATGGTTAACAAAAAAGCACAATAATTAAGTGAAAATCATTTTGATTGCAATTAAATGGAGAAAAAGTTTTAGCTTGCTCAAGAAAATTATTTTCTCAGTAGAAAAAAAAAAAATTTTAATAATTGGATATAAGAGAGTTTACTTCATTGACGCAAGTTACACAGTTTGATAACGAAAAAGCTTTCATAATTAATGTAGTTAGAATGTAATAGAAATTTATTTTAAATTGTACATAAAAATTTTCGCACGTATATGGAACAGTATCCCAAGAATTATCAAGACCTTGGTATAAGTAGTCAATAGGTTTTGATATTTTCAAGATCTCGTATTCTTGGAATTTTTTGAATTTCTATGTTTCTATGTTATCGTGATATTGAGAAAAGATGTTAATAAAAAATTCAAAAAATAAAACTCTTACTTAGATGAAGATTTTACTAGGACACTTTCTATGGGTCATAGTACGATGAGCTTAATCATTACTTTAAAGGAGGTTCTCCCATCATTTAGATTTTCTTCAAACTTTACCAATTTGTACAACACACTTTAAAACTTATGTACTGAAGTTTTCTCTACTTGTTCAGCTGGTTGAGAAAAAATTATTTAGTTGAAAAATTCAGGTCAATTTTTGAACATCGGATCTTTTTCTAAAATCTTCTCGCCCATTGGTCTTTCATTATAAAAATCTAATTCAAGCACAGTGCGAAAGAAAAATGTTGAAAAATATAATCGGAACACGAGCAAGGTTGTATTATTTACTTCGTTTTTATGATTACTTAATACTAATTATCCTTAATTAATGCTGCTCTACTCTAGTCACATTTGTTCAATAAACTATTTAACGTACAAAATACAGTTATACATCATTTGATAGAGAATTTTACAAACTATAACATGGACTATCTTGTAATTTGTTGAGATAAAATTTAATCGTTCAAGAAATCAATTGTGTTCTGAAAACATTAGAAAAGCGAAACAGAATGTTATATGGTAAAAAGCAAACAGGGTTCAAGAAATCAATTTTCTCGGCGAATTGTCTTCCGCGAGACAAACTTTTCTGTTGTCCCATCCCATAAGCCCGAGCCCGTGATCAAATAGTATTGTCTCGAACCCGTCTGTTCTGTGAAAAATTTATGGACTTTTTTGTTTCGTCAGTATTGTAATTTTTTGAAAATTTTTTCTGTTGAGATAAAAGACGTTTACAGTCTCAAACTTATTTTTGCAAAATCCGCGTGACAAAATTTAAGGCTAATTTGTTTGATTCTAAACTTAAAAGTTGCTGTATAAAAAAATGTTTTACATCCACTAACTACCTCAGAATCGAAAGGAAAGAACTGTAAATCGAGTTTTAGACATCAAACATATTCTCAACTTTAAATGCAGACTATTTCGCCTCTCCAGATTAATTTTGATTAGTTATTATTAAATTACGGTTTTGATTTGATAGTATTGCAAGAATTAAACATTTGAAGTTGCTGCATAGTTACAATCAAAAGATAAAACACTTTTCTACGACTTGTCCCAACACCGTCAACCCGAGCTTGTGATCCCAAGCCCGTAAAGCTATTTCTTGTTGCGAGCCCGTCTGTCCCGGAATTTGGAGCTGGTTCGCAGGACTCTAGATGGAACACACATTCATTTCAGTTTCACAATATAAAAGAAGAAATATTATTTTGCATTTAAATATTCTGGAGGTGATGATTTAGCAAAGAGGAAACAGATTTCTAAAATCTTACGTTCGCTGTTACTTCGGAATGAATCTGTTGATTATCAAGATACTTTTATCTATCCAAAAATTATTCCTGATATTATTAGAACTCGTTTTCCAAATGATATTCGAGGTTCTACTGGAGTAAAAATAAAGTAACCAAAAGTAACAGAATATCAAGTGGTTAGAGAAGACAGCTGTTGAATTGAAAAATTTTTTTCGACTTAGAAAATAAAACTATGTAGTTAGTTCGTTTAATAAAACAAACTACTTGTCCATCAAAGTGGAAGGTCGTGGTACTCTTCCTCTTTCAAACTTTCTACATGTGTCTTTTTGTCGTCTAAGTGTTTTAGTTTATAAACTAACCTTTTCTTGTCATTAGACGTTGACGGATTCTTCTTATTTGAATTCTTCGGAAGATGATGGTATAAAGTTTCGATATTGTTCGCGTGGTGTATTCTTGTTTCGCCGACTCATTAAAAATATTCTCGTTTCGCCAACTTTTTTCTTAATTGATTTATTTATACTAATTACGTGATTATGTACAAAAAATTCAACTTAGAATTTTTTAATATCAATCAATTTCATACTTCAATCATGAAATTCATTTAACGTTAATTTTTGTTCTTTATATCTTTTTTCCAAATCAAGAATACGTGTATTGCGACGAATATATAATTTTTTACGTGCTGTTGTGGCAGAGTTTTGTGTTATAATAGCCGTATTGAAAGCAAAATCTTCTTCTAAACTATTAGGAAATACGTAAAAATTTGGATGATGAACATGATCAAGCGAAGACTTTAGTCGGCAATGCCATCCCTCGACGTTATTGTTAGTACAATGACTTAAGAAACCAAAATAATTCCACAATGAATAATCAAACATTGCATTATTCGTTCTTAGATCTAATATTAAAATTTGGATTTATTTGATATCTAGTTAATTAATAGATGCCATTTTCGGCTTTTATTTTTAGAATTTATTTTAAACTTATTTTTAGACTTATTATTAACGAGAATATCTGTTAATGAGTCGGCGAAACGAGAACTAATCGTTCGCGCCCCACTTCTGTGCCGAGAAGATTGAGATTTAAAAACAAGAGATTACGCGATTCCGATTACACGAAAAGTAATCGAAAAAGAGTATTTGCTTCTTCTGGTGACTTTAGACGATCAGTCTCTTGTCACCGGACAATGTCAGTTGATCAAGAACGTTCTTCCAGCACTCAAAACTCTCATCAATCTCTAGATGCATAAAAACTAAATTATTCAATAACAGAGTATGTAGAGCACTGTTTTTTACCATATAACATTCTGTTTCGCTTTTCTAATGTTTTCAGAACACAATTGATTTCTTGAACGATTAAATTTTATCTCAACAAATTACAAGATAGTCCATGTTATAGTTTGTAAAATTCTCTATCAAATGATGTATAACTGTATTTTGTACGTTAAATAGTTTATTGAACAAATGTGACTAGAGTAGAGCAGCATTAATTAAGGATAATTAGTATTAAGTAATCATAAAAACGAAGTAAATAATACAACCTTGCTCGTGTTCCGATTATATTTTTCAACATTTTTCTTTCGCACTGTGCTTGAATTAGATTTTTATAATGAAAGACCAATGGGCGAGAAGATTTTAGAAAAAGATCCGATGTTCAAAAATTGACCTGAATTTTTCAACTAATTAATTTTTTCTCAACCAACTGAGCAAGTAGAGAAAACTTCAGTACATAAGTTTTAAAGTGTGTTGTACAAACTGATAAAGTTTGAGGATCAAATTCGATACTTCAAAGTTTTGCATATTTCGGCTGGAAATAGATTTTTAAAAACACCTTGAACCAAAATTTCCGTCGAAAGAGGCATTTTTAAGGAGAAATATGGATACAAAAGTTGTTCAGAATCAAATTCTCTGGTATATGAACGAGGGATTTTACAAAATTCGTTAAACTGGATTTTTAAATTAAAAGATACGGTGTTTTAAATTTCGCAAAATTTAATTTAACAAACACAGTTTAACGAATTTTGAAAAATCCCTCGTTCATATACCAGAGAATTTCATTCTGAACAACTTTTGTACTCACACTTTTTCTTGAAAATAGTTCTTTCTAGCGAAATTTGGTTCAAGGTGTTTTAAAAGTACCTTTTGCTCCAAAATTCCATGGGGCAGGACAAAGCGAAATAACTCACTCAAAACTTGACCGAATATTTTTTACAAATAGATCTTGATGTCCTCTATCGATTGACATCAAAACTGAGATTATAAGTAGAAATTTGAAAGTTTTATTGAAGTTTTAAAAACAGAACAAAAAGTCGATAAAAAGGAGTAAAAAATTCTCTCAAAAACTGCAAGTCCGGTGGCCGAAAAAATGTTAACGTATATATTTCAAACTGTCCTCTACAAATCGGTAAAAGAAACTGGGCGATAGAACCCCGCTTCACTAGAGCAGTGTAACTATTAGTTCATCATCATTGTTTAATGAGGTTCCACTATTATTATGTACATCAAGAAAACAATTACGCCAGCTCTAACTAATCAGAATACGATCAATTTGATTTTTGTATTGATCATCAGGTGCTGTTCATGTGTATTTACCTGGATGTTAAAAGATGGTTTCCTCAATAATCATATAATGTGCAATGGCAAAATCGACTAACCGCTGGCCATTAGCATTCATTATTCCTATGCCAAACTTCCCCTATAAGGCAAGGTGCCGCTAATTCAAAGTTTGAGCAGAATTTATTTTTCGTTTTTTATACATAGTTGGATAGAGCTTGACGAGCTGGTTAAGAATATATGCGTTTTAATTTTTTGGAATGATTTTTACCAGAAAA